GATATAAATAAACTTCTACAGAGAACACACACAAAATATTTAAGTATTATATATTTTATGAATAATTTAAAACTTCTCTTCTTTTGTTTTTCTTCTTCAATCAAGGCCTTATCGATCCCTTTCTTTATGATTACTAAAAGCAAGAATAATGTTTTTCTGATAAAAATTCATTTAAAGCCATACATAAATATATATATATATATATATATTTTTTATTGGTTATATATATAGTTAAACATATCTTAATTCTATGAATAAAGGTTATTCTATCTGCATGGCTTCAGACTGACAAAATGATTGCGTTATTAATAAATGTTCGTAAGTCCACTTTGGAAATACTCGTTTATACAGATTCATTAAAATTGTATCTTGGGATTTTAGCTGACCATTGAATATACACTTCATATGACCATGTGTACCTATGACAATATTATAAATATATTAGATAGTAAAAGTCGGCAAATATAGATATAGATACGGCAGTAAAATGAAAGAAAAGTGCAATTGCTTGAAAATAATTGATTAATTACCAAGAGATTCCTTTATATGGCCTCTGCGTCCATATTTTGTTCTTAATTGAATAGGTTTGAACCATTCGATATCTTCGCGATTAAAAAACATGAAACGCACAACCACCGATCTCTTGTTTACCTTATACGGATGACCACTTAGAACAGCTCGTTTCAAGACAATTCTATTAGGATTGCAAGATAACACATTTCCAGTTGCAATTAATTCCTGAAATCAATATTGTTATCCTTGGAATTTTTAATATGAGAATATCAATTATTAATTTTCTCTATGATAATTTACTACAATATTAATAACATTAATATCAAATGAATATATTAATACATACAAGCTCTCCTTTATTTTCAATGTAACAAAGTACTGGACATGGTGAAAAAGTAACTGGTGCGTACATACTTGCCACAACAGTATTATCAGGATGAAAGTATCTTTCATACTAAATAAAATGTATTTATTATTATTAATTATAAACTCTTATGCACATTATATGTTTCCTGTTTATTGTATAAATTGTTGTAAATTGAAAGACTGTGCCCACTCACCTTATGCTTATTGCCATTTGTATGTTGACTGAATATTGGACATGCTGTAAATCGTCTAAATCCACTCTGAAAGACCAATCTGTCCTTCGATTTAATCGGTAGCGTGTAATTATTCAAATGTTTTAATACGACATTCAATAGAGACATTTTGTGTTCATATGGAAGTAGACCAATCACTATTAATGGTTGATTCGCTATCGTAGCAAATGCCTTAAAAGTTACCCTACTAACGCGAATGATATCAAGTGTTACGTATCTTCCTGGCTAAAATCATGTGTATATATGTATATTATTTAAAAATATATTTAATAAAAGATTTAAATATGTATATAGCAAAAAAAATTTTTTTTTTGGCATATGTTACCCATATAGCCTCTTCGATATCTTCGCATTCTTTATAAATACGCTTTCTTCTGCGATCATAATCTGCAAACTCAATTATCCGAGAATAATCGACGGGAAGATTTTCCTTTGGATCCCATGGACTGGTACGAAATGACTCGAGACCTCGGTATTTCTGAAATCTCGTTTTAGCTAATATATCCTGGGGTGTATCCACTTCATCCGGAAATTGTGCGTCCGATTTTGCCTCTGTATGTTATTTATTAAATTATTATCAAAAAAGACAATACATTACACAAATACATATACGATTATATTACTTTTAAACTTCTCCATAGCTTGTTTCTCTTCAAGCATATCAATATCTTTATCATAATGCGCCTCATCCATTGCCGCCTCTGATATCGTAATAGTTTCATACTCTTCGTCATCTTCCAAATCTGTATTACTGTCTGTTTCGGATTTTGCTTCTTCCACAGACATATTGTCTTCCAATTCCTCTGAACATGCACTGAGGCTTTCTAATAAAATAAAAAAGTTCCTCGAAATATCATAAAATGAGATAACATGTTTTTTTCTTTTTTACTTAAAAAAAAAAAATAAAGGATTAAAAGAAGAGAAAAATGCCATACCTCCATCTTCGTCCGGTATCCATGCAGCTTGATATTCAGAAGTTCCTTTTGGTACAACTTTTACAATTTTTCTCTTTCTATTGGCCGCTGCTTCAGCCAATTCTTCCTCTGTGGGCCATGTTTGTTCAGCATCCATTGGGTCTGGAATATATTCACTTTCGAGAGTTTCCTACAAATTTTGATAAATTCTAAATGCAATATACACTGGGATTGTTATCTCACTATTGTTATTTAAAATTATATAAAAGCAAATTTGCAATAATTCTGACATATTCTGTACTTATGTTTACTATTTGCAATAATTTGTTAGCGATATGTTATTAATAGCATAAAATATATATATATATATACATATATAACCTGTTTTTCAGGATCTGCGGTATATAGGATTATTTGTGTTCCATGTTTTCCTTTTGTTTTCATCTCATTGTTAGAAGAAAGTTTCTTGCGGTTAGCGTATATGATTTCATATGGATCATCTAGTACTTTGATACACGACATTTGAAAATCACCAAAGCCTGGTATATGAACCAAATTATTAACAGACAATGATGTTATGCCTCGCACATATCCAGTGACCGAGAGAGTTCCAAAATCGAGTGAATCCTGATTAGATAAGAATTGTAGTTATTAAACTGCTTGCTATTTATATGTATATGTGTGTGTGTGTGTGTGTGTGTGTGTGTGAGCGCGCGCGCGCGCGCGCATGTATATATGTATGTATGTATGTATATGTATATATATGTTTATATATATATATTATTTAAAATATAATATTTAGAGTCCAACATACTTCATTACATTCAAAGGAAATTTCTTCAGCTAAAAGATGCGGCCTTATATTTTTGTAAAATACATTTCTTTGTTTTTGTGATCCAACACGACGTAATATATTCAAGCAATCGTCCACAGTATCTAATTCAAGTACTTTCTCATCAGGAAGCCATTTAGAAATAGCACGTTGCACAGATTGTTTATATTCCTGACGTTTCTAATATATTGTTTGACACATGTTAAATAATGATTAATCAGATTCTTATATATATACAGTATCTTATACAGTATAAAATTTACAAAATACAATAAGTAAAAAATAAAAATAATTATTATCTCTTGTTTGTATATTTTCCTTAAAGATATAAACATCTTATTACTTACTTTAATGTGAAGTCTCTGAATATTGTGTACTGCAAATATAGTAGTAGGTAAACCTTGAGCAAGGCAAGACACAATAATCTTCTTACCCCATTTGTCTACAATTTCTCTTTCTGTATCACCATTTGTCTGACAAGCGACAGAAGTTATAAAGAGTATTGTATTAGCAACTTTGGCTGCATCTAATGTTGCTAAAACATTACCTATTGGTGGTACAATAATGGAAAACCGCTGTTTCATCCTTGGTACACTGTACAAATATTTTTTTAAGAGATTAATATAAATGCCAAGTTTTCAATTTGTCTTCTAATAATATGCAATTTTGTAGCACACCCTATATGCGTGATCCCACATGGACTGGTAGCAATATTAGCAGTTTCATCTATACTAGTTATAACAGACATAATATTCTGAATGTTTATATCACTTTGCAAGGGTATAATACAAATAAGGATAGGCGCAGAATGACAACTGCCAAGGTTTCTCTTTTGCGCTAGTACTTCCTCGCGTTTCTTTTTTCTGATTTGCAACAATTGGTTTCTACGTGCATCCCTCTGAAGACTTTTCTTGAGATGTTTCAATGATGTTTTGATATTTTGTTTACCTATATAAGAAAAAAATAAACATTTTAGAAATTAAGTAAAAAAAATATGTTTTACTTAAGACACCAATATGTAATTATTTATTGCACTAAAAATAAATCTTATTAATTAAATAAATTGTAGCTATAATTATTATATCTTTTTTACTATAAAATGTTCTTAATTTACCTTTAAGCTCGTTATTGATAACACTTTTACTACGATGTCTTCCAGTCTTGTGTTGCTTATTAGATTGTTTAAGTGCACCTGGTCGATGCGTTTCTTGCTTCGTCGCATTCATATTAATAGTTAATATAATTAATAAATCTTCTGTAAATGTTTAGTTTGACCCGGTTCACTTAAATTTTGATGAAAATATATTCAACTAATGAATTTTTTTTAACAATATTTCAATTGCTACGCGATGGAAGAAATCGGAGGAAACTCATCAAAAACACGTGCAATCAAAACTAAAGTCCGCGGCACACGATGTGATTTTTCGCGTTCATAGATCTTATGTATCTAGATACGCTTTGTGACTAAAGATAACATTTCATGAACAGTGAAAAGCAGCAGCAGTTTAGAAAATAACTAGAATCGGTGACGTACTTCCGGCGCAAGTTTTTGCTGTTTGAAGTACATCCTGTTGAACAACAAAGCAATAAAAGCTGTGTTTTGGTTATATATGTACATATATTCTAAAGTATGGAATCACCAGAGGTAAGTTTGTAGGAACTATAATTATAAAAATAATTTCTTATTCGATTATATCTCAATTAATATTGAAATTGAGATTAACGATTTAAAACACTGCAGAAAACCTATTTCATGGGGTTGCGGGCTCAGTTGCGGTTGGGGATACAATTGACAGTTGTGGATTGACCAATCAGAGCAATGCAGCTTACCGGCTGATTGATTAAGTGCCGATCTACAATAGGCAATTTAAGCCCTAAACCTTATGACTTAACCTCTAAACTATTTTTTTTATGTGCCACGGCCCTAATACGACCTTTACAGTCTAGTGCATAGGCCAGTATTGGGCGTTTTCCAGCAAGGTACACAGACGACACAGTGTACTACACATTATCACGCGATTGGTTATATTTTAAATTTCTTCATTTGACAGCCAATCATGTGATAATGTGTAATACACTGCGTCGGCTGTGTACCTTGCTGGAAAACGCCCATTATCAGCCATGTGAGCTGACCGTTTATAAATTTTGTATGTGTATGGTAATCGTGCTTCTCACGTCATCCCACCAGTGTTCACAACAATGGTCGTGCCGGTTGTATTTTAGGTTAAATCCTACTCGCATGATCTCTAATATAGTTTATCAACTCTAACAGAGTAAAAAATGGACAATAAAATAACGATATGTGATCCTGACGAAGAAGAAATTGAAAATGATTTATTGCGTGACATCGAACCAATCATGTGGATCAATGATGATCCAAACTATGACTTGGACGAGATTAACATGTTTTTTCACAGAGTTGATTCAGCTCAAATTATATATGAAGAAAAAAAGAAAAAGTGCAAATTTATCGGTAAATATGTCATGGGCGACGTTCTCGGTGAAGGTAGTTATGGAAAAGTAAAAGAAGTATTGGATTCGCAAACGCTCTGCCGAAGAGCAGTCAAGATATTAAAGAAAAGAAAACTTCGTAGGATACCGAATGGTGAACAGAATGTTCAAAGGTATGTTTAACTAATGTATGTCTTTCTATGAGTCTTACATTGGTATGCGTTATATTTTATTTCGACTTTTATCGCTAGACACGCAAATGCGATAGGCCACTGCAATAATTTTTCTTTTCTTGCTTGTTATTAACTAATATCTTGTTATACTTATTCATAGGGAAATAAAATTGTTAAGAATATTAAGACACAAGAATGTAATAAATCTTGTAGATGTTTTATATAGTGACGAGAAAGAGAAAATGTATCTAGTTATGGAATTTTGCGTATGTGGATTACAGGTAAATTTTAATAATCATCCTTTTTTTTATTATTCCAAATATTAGATTATTATGCACAAACATCATATATAAATTGTCAAACTAAATAATTTCGAAATAGAAACGGTAGTTACTTTATATTTCTGTGAAATATATCGTTATTGTTTATCTTGCTATAATTGCCATTATGGGTCGTAAATGATTACATTATTGATTTATTTTGAGTTTGTATGATTGGAATTTGACTAATCAGAAGAAAGGGAACTAAAATTTCTTTGTCTTGATTGATCAAATATCAATCTTAAAACTTCAATCTCAATCTTTAATGCGTAGTCTGATACAGGCTTTATTTGTATCAATACTGAGTTTGAATGTTGAATCTTTAGTACCGAGATATTTCAATTGGTTTCAAAATGGTATATATATATATATATATATATATATATGTGTGTGTGTGTGTGTGTGTTTGTGTTTGTGTGTATGTGTTTGTGTGTATTATGGAAATAAAAATATTCAACATTGTATTTACTTATCACTGTATAATATAAAGAAAGCTTATAATTTGGCTTATTAAAATATATAAATATTACAAAAGTTGATCATTATGATTATATAATAATTTTATAATAATAATGGTAAACAATTATTTATAAGATTTTATGATACTTTTTCAAGAAGCCAATTAAGTTAGAAACAAAGAATTTATAAGTATATTTTACAATTCACATTATTTGTATAATATATTTTACATAGTAATAAATAAATATGTATGTGCATGATGTGTATGTGCGCGCGCGCGCGCGTGTGTGTGTGTGCGTGCGAGCGAGCGAGCGAGCGTATGTGTGAGCGTGTGTGTGTGCGCGCGCGCGCATGCGAGATTTTCTCTGATAAGCTAAAAAAAGAAAAGCTGTAATGAAGCCATATAGAGAATTTTTGCTTTTGATGTTTGTAATAATGGCTTGCATGAATTAACAACAATTAGATTTTTATTTATTAGATCCTTTACAGGATATGTTGGAAAGCGCACCAACCAAGAAGCTTCCCCTTTGGCAGGCACATGACTATTTCTGTCAGTTGTTGGATGGTTTAGAATATCTTTATAGTAAAGGAATAGTTCACAAAGATATAAAACCTGGAAATCTGTTATTAACTTTAGATGGTACCTTAAAGATTAGTGACTTTGGCGTTGCAGAGGTACAAACACCATCTATAACTTCATTACTAGAAATTTATATGCAGTTAAAATTATAAAAACCGATCTAAAAAAAAAAGCAGGAATTTCTAATAAGGAAATAGTATCTGTGGACACAAAGTCAATATCTATTTACAAAATGTCAAACATATATTTCACAACCATTTGTGTTTCATTCCTATTTGTGATTACGCATCTCCATTGTGCTAGGCATTAGACATGTTTTCCAAAGACGATACATGTACGATAGGTCAGGGATCTCCAGCGTTTCAGCCACCAGAAATTGCAAATGGCTGCGAAAGTTTCTCAGGTTTTAAAGTAGATATATGGAGTAGTGGAGTTACATTGTAAGTAACATTTATATAGCATTACGTAATAATATGCATACAATGCGAAGAAGAAAAAATATCATATCCATAATTTATAGGTATAATATAACAACGGGTTTATATCCTTTTGAGGGAGATAATATATATAAATTATATGAAAACATTGGAAGGGGCGAATATACTATACCGAAAGAAGTAGAAGAACCTTTAAAATCGCTCATAGAGGGAATGTTGCAGAAAGATGCGGATAAAAGATTTACATTACAACAGATTAAAAGACATGCTTGGACCATATGCGAGCACCCTAAAATGCAGAAAGAAGTACCTATACCTCCTCTTAAAAGTAATGGGTGTCATAGTATGACTGTTTTACCATATCTAATGGAATATCATTATGGGGTTGATGATAATCCTGTATATTACACAGAACATCAGCTAAATGGTAGGTCTATTAACGCTATTTTTGTTATATATTAAATTTACTATAACATTGAAATTATGGCGACCATACAGAATAATCAAAAGAGTTTTTATTAGGATACTTGTCAAATTACATCCTTCCTTTTTGCGCAACTTGATAGAATCGTGAGAAGTATAATGAATATCGCTTTTTCTTTAGAAGAACGAAGACTTCAAGAACTGGATCGTATTAGCGAGGATCGAAAAACTACATGTAATAGTCATGTAAATGCTAAACCCAACACAAACAGTCAAAACAAACGGAGATGGCGTAAATCTTGTATTAGTATTAAGAGATTTTCATCCTGCAAGCCATCGTGATTTTACTGATTGTATCGCTATTCTTTCGTTTATATCTCACTGACTATGTCAGTTACAAAGCTTCTCTATGGTGGAGACGACTGAAAGCTCGATTAATGCCGAGCGTACAAGATGTATGTAATTCAACTACAGCACGAATAGAATGTAACGCTTTTGAGTCGATTCAAAAGCATCGGATGTAAACATTTGTGATATTAAGATTAAATCGTGTAGCGCGAATAATTCAACAACATCCTTATTAATTCGACCCATGAAATGCCCAATTAAAGTCAAGTTTCGTTCTGGTGCCATATGGATAATGCGATTAATAAAATTGTTAATCGTCAAATTTTTTGCATGATTTTATTTACTATCAAATCTCCCTATACCCCATACAGTTTTATTTATCATTGCAATTTGCGCGAAAATCAATTTATCATTAGCTATATTTTGTCGAATTCTTTGATTTTATTTGTTTAATTAGTAAATAAATATAAAAGATACTTTTAAGTAACATTATATTATATAAGTATTATTTCGATATATTACTGCAAAATTACCTCGATATGCACCTAATGTCATACATTGAAATTCTTGTGTTTACAAAAACTATATACCTATACTTGTAATTATTGGACATAAAGTTATATAAAAGATTGAGCACTCTTATACGACAGCTGACGACAAGATTGAAAAACAGATATATACGAGGTAAGACGCTTTCTCTATCATACAATATGCTCTGAAAATAGACGATGAAATAGGAGGAAATAGAAGAGTGAGAATGTGAGGCGACCACTTCTCCTCTTTTTTCTCTTTCCTCCAATTGCACAATCGGACAAGAAAAATTTCTTGCTCTTTACTATTCTCTCTTACTATACACATGTTATATACACACACTTTCTCTCTCTCTCTCTCTCTCTCTCTCTCTCTCTCTCTCTCTCTCTCTCTCTCATGAATATTATATTGATTGATTGACGAATATGTCTCCCGCGTTATTTTTTATTGTTTCGTATAGCAGATCAAATAGCTTATCAAAAGTTATTCTTTGCATTAAATTCTTTTTACTTTTAATCAATTTCATTATTGTTATTAATATAAGTTAATATAAATAGTATTATATGCTTTTAGAAATTTTTTATCTGAAAATATATATTATATTTTGTAAATCCCACAATATTAAAATACATATACACAAATATTTTTACAAGTAGAATATACAAAACATATATATTTATATAAAATGCATAAGTATTACATTTAATAAGTAAATACAGTATATATATATATATAATATACATTTTCAATATCTTAGCAAATGTTATTTATATCTTTTCTTATAACAGATGCTCATAAATAAAAATTACAATTAATGATATTATATATAGTTAATTATTATCGATGACTTGTTAACGATATTAATCAAACACGGTCTAATTTATAATTGTAATGATTCATGGGCCGTGTTTCAAAATTCACTGCCAATACTGGAAATCTATAATACGTTACGTGAACTATAGATTTTCAGTACTGGCAGTGATGCAGTGAATTTCGTAACACGGCCATGATTATGGGCCATTTTCACAAAGTCCGATTAGATGAACCGACGGTTAAAATTAGCAGGATGGCCAACAGAAAATAGAGGTGAAGGAAAACCAAGCATTATCTCAATAAGAACATTGGAGTACTTCTTTCATTATAATAATATCTAATTTGAGCGATAAAAAAGATAATGTTATATAAAATTTTTTAGTTAAAAAAATCAAACATCTACAAGCTTTGTCGGAGTAGCGAATTGACACGAAATTTAGACGGTAAAATCATAGATATATAGACTGGATTGAGCATTATGAGATAGACAAACGTGCGCTTGCTGTAGAAAAAGAGGTACTATATGGGAGGCCTATGTTTGTCTCTTTTCCTAGCATCTCATTGGTAATTTTCTATATGGAGGGGGACAAAATCACCATATCTTAAGCTTAGAACATATATAAATGGAAGGGGAATAGCAGGCTGAAAAGTGTCGAAGGAAGTGAGAAAGAAATCGTAGTTGCCTCTCTCTTGTGAGTAACTACACATACAAGCATCGTGTCTGTAGTATACATACTTTTGTGTACACACACATGGCCGCACATGCGCACTTTTGAGCAAAGTAACTCACAAGAGAGAGGCAACTATGATTTTCTTTCTTACTTTCTTCCGACATGTTTTTCTATCGGGAAACAAAGGCATTCCCCTTCCATTTATATATGTTCTAAGATCTTAAGTAGCGCGGCGCTTTCTATGGCTGTGTTCCAAAATTCACTGCCAGTATTGAAAATCTATTTCACATTCAAATCTAGTTCACATAACATATATTATAGATTTCCAGTACTGGCAGTGAATTTTGGAACACGGCCCATATGTATAGAGTTCAATAATGACGCGTGAGCGTGTTGTACACACGCTATTTTACTATTTTGCCAAAAATTTTATAAAAACTATGCATGATATCTAAATATCGATAATCTTGAATCAAAATTATTCACGTGTTATCAAATCTATTCATTTTACTTTTAGTCGTTGCTTCGGTAGTGATATCAATTAGAAAGTGTTCTCTTATTAAGTAAGTTGTATTTAAAATAGCGATTTAGATATTTATTTAGATATTATTAAATATTATTTATTTAGATGTCATGCATAATTCTTATAAAATCTTTAGCGAAATAATAAAATAGCATATACGCTCACGCGCCACGCACGCCGTTTGCACGCCGCCCCTGATTCATGCGTAACCTATAGAGCGCTCATTTGTTAGCTTAAAGTTGCTCTTATTTAAAAGTGGTGTTCAGACGCAATTTTGCCAAAGAAAAAAGTTGCTTCTTCTAGCACGGACAATCACGCTGTGCATTCCGTGTCCGCGAACTCTGATAACATAACTTTTTTTCTCTCTCTTCTGCTCGGTAATGTTCAGCAGAGAAAACCGCTCAGTAGCAATCGAACGTGATTGGCTCTTACTTTTAGAATCAACAAATCAACGTCGAGTGTTTACAAGACGATAACCGAGCGCTTTCTCTGTCGAACGGGGCTAATATTACCAATTTTTGTCAGAATCAACAGTCGCGACACATGAATATCTAAATGCGATGCGTCCGACTCGAAAATTTCAAATCCAAAAGTGAAAATTTATTGACATTTTCTGTATCTAATAGTTTAATAATCGAGGAATGATAATTCTAATTTAGCGTACAAACAGTATGTATATGTGTTTATATATAAAGGTATTTCGCAAATTGTGAAACATTACAAGATATCTTCTGTCTCTCATGATATTGAATATCGAGCGAAAAGCATCTCACACATGCCCCTCCTGGTATGATATTCTAAGATTAGATTGCATGATTGATTAATTTTTCAATATACCTATGCCTTACATGGTTATAAGTAGTAAATCCGTCTAGACATTTCTATAATACATACACAACTTGAGATCGGTATGCGAAAAATGTGTCTTGATTAGGGGATCTCATTAGGGGAGCCGTCTTGATACGGCTCTGGACGACGATCCCGCGATTTGGACTTTTGGACTATCGTGTACGTAGAGATCACTTCCGATGCTGAGGAATGCATGAACATGTTTTACGAGTGATTAATGCCCAAGTACAGGTTATTCAGCCGGACCCAGCGAAATTCGTTAGTAAACATGCAGCCGCGGCATTATCGTGAGTGATCGTCGTTATAACGCCCGATTATAATGGCAGAGAACCTGTCAAAACGGCCTTCCAAGGGAATTCTCAAGACGTCCAGCAGTTTTGATAATCCAGAGGCGCCTAGGTGAGTGCGTTAATTGAATCTCGATGCGTGCTCGCGTAAAAATAGAGATGCGTGCGTCTTGTATTACGGCTCGTCATTATTCTATGAAATGAGGAATGGACAAACATAATCGCAGGAATTATTTCTCAACATATATATATATTCGATTCCAGTATATAATTTCTTATTTTGTATGTGTGTGTGAATATCTTCTTGAAATTAATACGCATTTGTTGGACTCTCGAAAGTTTTTCTTCTGCAAAATTTTTCTGAACAAGATTATCATTTCTTTATATCAAGAAATAAATTTAAAATATTTTCAATATTATTATTTACAGAGGTGTGAAAAACTGGAAAAATAATTTATGAGTATTTGCAAAAGTGAAGTCATAAATTAATTCATGTTAACTGACATTACTTGATATAGATTCTATTTTTAAACATAATGAAGAGCATCATTTAGTTTTTTGTTTTTTTCTGAGTACTTTACATTAATTGATTCGTAGACCAAATAAAGAAACAACATGGGACGAAATGAATATTATTGCTACTCTTCATCCTGCTGACAAGGATTATGGTCATATGAAGATCGAAGAACCAAAAACCCCATACAATTTTGAAGGCCTCCAAAATGAACATGAATTTGATCAATTAGATGCTAGCACTATTGCAGCAAAGTGAGTACAACAGTGTTATATATTACATAATTTCAATTTGTAATACACATTATGTAACTGAGTGCATGTTTGTAAAATATAAAATTATAGTGAAAAAATATAAAACTTGATATTAATTATTTGGTTATGAAAACTCAGATTAGCTGGAAGTAGCAAACCCAAAATTTTCGAAGAATCTAGCGAAGAAGAGGAGGATGAAGAAACTCCTGAAGAAAAAGGTAAGATGAGAGATGCTTAGATATAAGTTACTTTGCTATTAATATATTTAATTTTAGAAAGGAGGAGAGCTTTTGAGGCAAAAAGAAAGGGCCATTATCGAGAATGGCATGCCGTACAAATGGCAAGACGACTTTTAGAGCAAGATGAATTAGAAGAAGATGATGATGGCGGTAATGATGGTGGTAAAAATAACGAGGAAAATTCGTCAGAGGAGGAAAGTGATTTTGACACCCGCTTCAAATGCATGCCGTCCTGTGATAGAAATGAAAAAAAATAAACAAAAAGTATTGATTAGTAATTTTATTTTTAAATCGCCCATCATTATTATAATTTTGTGGCGATGTCTGCTTTATCATTTAACGCTATTGTGATTAAAATGTTTGTTATACATTTAAATGCCCAAACACATACATACACACTAAATATCGAATTTTAATCCTGTGTATATAGCTTTAACAGCTTCACCCTCTGTAAATAAACATTTTAAAAACCTGGATGTTTATAGAGTAATCTATTGTTAGATTTTTCCAACATTATAGATAAAATAATAGTAATATTATATAATCACAAATTTTTTTCTTTTTTTTAGTTACTAATTTAACTCAGAAATATTAATTAAACTATGCACAAAACTCGTCACGTGTAATCATTTAGATAAGTTTATATAGACTGCGATTTGTAAAAGCTTTGCTCGTTTCGCATGTTATTACAGAAGAGGCCTATCTTTTGTTACTTTATAGAGTTGGTTTTAACAATGTTCTTGTAAAATTTAATATCTTTGGAGAAATTTGCAGAGGGATTCTCTCTTGATCATTGTATCAAAATTCGACGAACAATAAGGCTGAAGGCTGAACAAAGCCCTCTCACATATAGTGAAAATTTAAGATGCCATATATAAATTTTAGTCAAAAACTTGTGTACCTAAAATGTTAGAATACATGTGTAACACAAGTCCTGTGATTAGCATAGGCATATGCTATGTAACATTCGAATGTATGACCTCGAACTTTCGTTTTTTCTCGTAATGCTTGATTTTATTTTCCAAACTCTCTATAAAAGAAAACGAAATATATAGATTATTTACATAGACATGTAATGAAATTATCAATTCGTGTAACGCGTATTTATCAATTAAGTAAACTTTAATCTAGACCTGTCCAAGTTTATTTGAGTCTACGCGCGTATTTATTCTCTCCTTTACTCCTATATACCATCTCTATACTCTTTCTCCTATACTACACTTCATATTCCTCAACCATTTGTGCCGTCGTTATTTTTCCAAGCAATTTTTCCAAATTAATCGATCACAACGCAAGGATACAACGAACATATGTCTATATAATTTGGGTCTTCCCTTTCTCCCTTTTTCTCTTGTATTTCCTATGTCTTATTAAGAGGATTTTATTCAGCAGCGTAAACAAGAAAAAGTATTTTGTTTATGAATCAAAACTTGGACAGGCTTAATTTAGTAAGTTGTATACTGTTGATAGAATACATATTTAAAAAAATTTCGAACATAGAATACGTCCAAACGCGGTGACGTTATGTTTAGTACCATAATTAAGAAAAAAAAAAAAAAAGGTAAATTAAATATATCCAATTATCAAAATTTTGAATGTCTGTATATTATATAATGGAATAAAGCATATTATATATAATAGATTTTGAATAGTATTTTATAAGCGTAGCGTCTGAAAGTTGAGAAACAATTCATATTGTATAGATACGTAATAAAATAATAAAACATTTTCAAAGAAACTGAACATTTAAAAAGGGTGAATTTGAAATAAAGTCTCGGCCTTACCAATAAATTTATGTACCTATTAATTTTGATCAAAGTTGATTACGTATACTAACCACACATTTCTCGTTTCATTAATGGCTGATATACTTTTGATCGTACTCCAAGAAGGAGGCAATCACTTTGAAAATCAGTGTTTGCACAATTGACCAAATCTTCCAACTTTGTCAACATATTTTTAATCATTGTAGATCTATGCATTTAAAGAAAGAGGAACTTGATTATGAAATTAATTATATGTACAATTTTATATATATATATATATAGAAAATTCCTTTTTAAATAAATATACTTTATAGTATTGAGAGCCCAATCCTGTTGTAATGTCTTGATAGTATTTATTAACTCATTTTTATCAATAAACCATTCTACGTCTTCATAATCACAATACCAGAGATTCAATGGTACTTCGTGAGCCATATTATACTGTGGCTTCTGTGGACAAGTCTCAATATCTAAAAGCTTTAAAATTATTTCAGGCTCTTCTTTTCTTTGTCCAACCAGTAACAAGATGCCCATTAAGCAACGTATTTGATGCCAGAGAAAGGCTTGACTTGTGATTTCTAATTCGCACATATCATAGCCTTCAAAGTAAAAAAATTTGTATTAAAATAAAAAATTTATGTGTATATTAGAATAAAAATTATATATAGATAGAATGCATAGTGAGAAGAAATTAAAAATTACCTGTAACTTTTTGCATATTTTGATTGCTTATAGAAATTTTTGCATCAAGTACAGTTCTCTTAAAGTTAATTACACCATTGGCTACATCCATTTTACAAATATTACGAAAGTCATGATGTCCTATAGCATACTTGACAGATTTGTCCATGGCATCTATATCCAAATTGCTCTTTGGGAAAAAGTATTTATACGTCCTATATTTGCAGTCAAATCTAGCAGAGAAATTTGACGAGACTGGACACCATGCTATACATCTTATATTTGTTGGTAGTAATCTGTTTAATATTTTACAATAGGGCAATTCCTCTGACAAATTATTTTGATTTTCTGGTTCCAACCTACTGCGAATGTCTAACGAAATCGCTTGAGAGAATGAGCTAACACCTTTATCAGTTCGTCCACATCGATGGTAGTTGGCATTCTCGCGGGATTCTATGCAACAACTTTTTAACAAAGCTGTGAACAAATGATGCTCAATAGTGTCATTGTTATCTTCTTGTACGGTAAAGCCATGATAGTTCCAACCAAGATAACAGAATTTTAAGAGAATGTGCCTCTTATGGTAACTGTGATTGAATAAGGCAAAAGATATTATTTAAATAAAAAAACAATATAATGAAAAAGCGATATGCTTACCGTGAGAAATCAAACGGTTTTCTTACTATGTCAGACATCTCCTTTTTCTCCGATTTAGAATCTGTAGCTTTTGTGATTAGTGCTCTGAGTTGCTCGTTGTGAGCTTCTAATTGTAATATTTTGTCAATTAATTCCTGTAAAGCAAAATTGCCCATATATGCACATAAATAAAAATAAATCACACACATAATATACTATACGCGCATATATGTATACAATAAGCCAGAAATATATATTTATATATACATATATATGTTTTTATATATTTACAAACGATCGTACTGATCATACCGATTTATCAAACTGTTCCAACTGTTCCCTCGTGCATTTTTTTATATTAGCACACTTTATAACTTTTGCCATAATCGTATCTTTTTCACGATAAATCGAAATATTTTGTAATAATCGTCATATAAAGGCTATGTTTGTGTTGTCGAGCAGTTTTCTTTCCGCATTGGGTGCGTTCGAAAATCCTACCTGTGGAGTAAAGTAGCATTTAATTGACCAATCGGGATAAAAAGAAGCAAAGATTTCTTTGTCCTGATTAATCGATTTAAGGATACTCTACCCTACGAGTAAAATTTTCGAACGCACCAATGCAAGTATGGCAATGGCAAACGGGGTATCGATCGAATATCAGAGTTTCGACTAAATAATAGTTTATTTATGTTGAGCTTCCCATTGATAAAGATATACCCAGACAGCACAAGGATGTCCTTAGGACGTCCAAAGGGCATCCAGGACATACATGTATATAAATAATTTTAATTATGCAAATTAAAATATGACAAGTAAATATGTAACGTTAACATTAATTAGTGAAAGAGTACCAAATTTAAGAAGACTCTGCTGTATTTAATTCGAAATTATAGAGACAAAGATTAATCACACACGGGTTCTATCTATTTTTATTAATAGTATACAATCTGTATTTACTGCGTACAATATGATTTTTATGTATTTCTCTCTTGACTATAGACAACACTAGATCGCTATATCAGTTTTACAATTGTGCGATGCATATCACTCTAGTTCGGTTTGGAGATTCAACCTTCTCGAGAGAGCGAGAATATGATAATAACCGAAAGGTTCGGTGAATTGTATGTATACAGTTAAATGTATCGAGAACAGATTTTACAAATTTTGTCAGCAGAAAAAGATGGTACAAATGAGAAAAGATTTGTTGCATTTAATAATGTCGGTAGAAATTTTAACAAAATTTTGAAAAAATCTACTAACAGAGAGAATATGTATGTGACGGCGAATTTTAATGGTAGAGATCATATGGAGTTTGCAATAATTTGATAGCAGATTAGGCGACAGAAACTGAACAGATCTGCCATTTTGTAATTTAACTAATTCGTAACACATTTATTAAAGCTATTTAAATGATACATTGATCTCTATCATTAATTATTTATTTCGATTTTTATATAATACGTCTATTTTATTTCTTACATCAGATAGAAGAGATAAAATAAAAACTGCTATTTTTATTAGAACAAATTGTTGAAAAATAATTACTGTGAACACAGTTGATACCAATTTACAATTTATATGCAATGTATCGATCGTATCTGCTGCCAAATCTGCGAAATATTGCAATCACTATTAATTACTATCTGGATATGGAAGAGAGAGATTTTTTTTTCTTATATCAAATAGTAGAGTAATATCCATTCAATATACGAGAATACTATGAATGCTGATTATAAAATTGTGTAACTCGAGGATTAAGAGTCTGACAGCGAATTTAGTTGGATGCATTGGCCGCTCAGATGCAAACATAAATTTATCAAATAAATATCGCATTAAAAGAATGTGTGTGCGAATCATTGAAAAATACGTGTAGACTAAATTCTACCGAACAATATAGAATGAGTCACTCTAAGCGTTTCATTAGCGAATACGCTACGCGCTTATATGACACTTTATGCAAGAATGGTGGTTTTCAATATGCACCAGTGAGCAATACTCACAATCAGTATGCAGCCAACCCGGAGTTCGTTAAAAATTCGGGATATAAGATAAACTTGACTTAGAACGTTTTTCTCTTGTGTTCTTTATATGTATATGTACAAACGAAAATTGATTCGTTCTCGTTTTCCATTAACAGTTGAGTTCTTTTCGCTTGACCATATCTGAATGGTTTGCACCGATTAAGCGATTTAATAGTCGATAAGCCACTCTTTTGATTCCCGATCTTTCAATTTTGAGGCACTCAAAACAGAATCACATCCTATTATCCTAGTGTAATGTATATACAATTCTTAACGTCAAATAAAAGATTTTCGAACGAATTGTTTCTTTTTTCGAGCTGTTAAGTTTCGCGCGTGTCTAATTAAAAATTAAAATAATAATAATAAAATAATCTATAATAATAAATTATTCAAAAAAGCAAACATCAAAGAGCAATTTAACAATATTTATTCATTCTTTTTATATAATTAATTAATACTAACATTTTTTACAGGTTTTATTTGATATATCTCTAGTAATATTTTTGAATCTTATTTATATTTGTCATTTTGAAATTATTGAAGACAATTTACAAGAATTTTAATAAACCTGGAGACTCTTAAAATTAATTTAATTAATTTTGAAATAAATTTAATTAATTTTGAATTTATTGAATTTAATTGATTTTTAAACTTTTGGAGTCAAGGAACGAATAAAAATTTAATAAAACTAATAATTGGGATAATCTCGACTGAATAATGACATATAAAACTCGAAATACTTATTGAATGACAGCCACTTTATTGAGAGTAGACAGCGGTGAACATTAAGATCGCCTTGCGCAGCAATTACCTCGATAGACTTTAGATAGTAAGATATCACACGTGCCTCCGTAAGTGGTAAGAATCGTATTCTTATCCGGTATGCTATCGATCTGTCACATTACGACAAACCTGATCGTCTCGTAAGTGCACTCGTAAACTACTTTATACTTTTACTGCAAAAAATAAGCAAGCTAAAAGGACGGGACTGCATACTGCATGCTGCTTAATTTTATTCTCCCAAAATGAATTTCCTCTCCAATCCTTTTAAATTTACTTATTTTTTGCAGAGTTTTTTCAAAATGGAGGTATGATGTGGGATACTTTGAACGCATGATAATTGACGATACATGCATTGTCTCTTGCGAAAATATATGTACAGGTAGAGATGTAGTATAATAAGAAATATAAAAGTGTCGATAACAATGTTAACAAATCCCTCCCCCAAAGTCCGTTACCTCGCTAATAATGCTTGCTGATAATGAAACCGTTCGAGTTATCCTCGCAAGAAATCCTTGAATTAAAAGAAATCGGCGGGGATAGATTTCCCGTGAAATTAGATCGTCAATTTATGTAATTGGTTTCATCTCTCGTTAGAAATTCAACTGCTCGAGTCACACTTATTTGTTCAAAAGAATCGGAAAAAAACTTTCAGGTCTATACGAAAAAGAGAGAAGTAGAGAGCAGTTCAAAACTTTTTAGCATTAGTATTTCTAGTTTTGAAGATCAGCAATTGGAATTTATTTACAGAACAAATCCCAGTCGATCACTTTTAATTCGTCCATTTTTCACAAAGATCTATCCGTATGTCACAGCGATGTATGTATTTCGAAAAAAAGGAGAGCGTTCTCCTTCCACTCTCTGTCACACTCACTTAATCGCCTTCGGTTCTCTGCACGCATGCGTATGTAGTCGCATATATGTGTATTGCTGTCGGATTAGCTTCTTTTTTTCCTCGCAATAATTTATAAAAAATTTTTCGCTTGGTTTGCCTACTGGCAACCCCACTGGCAACCCCACTGGCAACATCACTGACTTACGTAATATTACAGGATAAGTCATGCTCTGTCTAATAGTAGGAATACGAGTACAAACGCTTCGTCGAATGTTTCATCATATGCGTACAGGCCGAAAATATATCGGAAATGATTTGTCCTTAACATCTTGAATTTTTTTGCACCAAAAATACCGTACTAAAAATTCAGAAACGACGCGATATCGTTATCAAGAGAGAGAGAGAGAGAGAGAGAGAGAGAGAGAGAGAAAAAGTCGCGATATTGCCCGATTTTTTTACCCGATAAACTTTAAATCTCGTTGTATTTCTAAATTTTCATCGCGGATTTTTCACGATATCTTCATACCGTAAAACAGGGCAGCGTTACATGAGACAGCGACTAACTGCGTATCATGCTGAAAAAGATTTTATCTTTTTTTTTCTTCTTAAACTTTCCTAATTTCTTTGACTTTAATCGTGAGTATATGTCACGGGCCGCTCCGTCTGAAATTCTACGATTCAAGAAAAACTCAAGAATTTCTTACAGAAATACTTAAGACTCTATCTTTAATGAGTTCACTCGCAAGTTAAAATAACTAGAAAAACTAGATCTCACTCGTATAAAAAGGAGCATGATATCCGTTTTACCACTCAAATGGACATTTTATTCCCGCGATCTGACCCTGTTTTAGAGCAAAAGAGGCTTTCGACTCTCGGTTTTCCGCAAGAATCTTCGGTATCGTCAGATGCAGGATACCGCGAGTGCTTGTTTATAATTATTATTTTTTTCGTAGAAAACGAAAGGATGTGGGGCAATTGACAATGCATGCATTGATTCGATTCGATAATTATCAGTTTTAGAGATGTACCCGAAGGTATTTATATTAATATGCTCCGCCACCACACTCTCTTCGAGGTATGTATTTTTTGAACACAGCACCCTAGCGGAGAACGAAATATGCCTGGTGAAACCGTTACGTAATTATCTCCTAGGATTGGCTAGACGCGCCAAGTTAAGTGTGTGTATGTGTATACACGTGTATAGGAAATATTCAATGAATATATATTACTTTGTAACATATATTTACAAACACATAGTTATTCATTTTAGAAATGTACGCGAGGGGAAACTTACTTTAGTATTTGTAAAGTGTCGCGCTTCTCCGCCGTCTCGGCCTGAGATTCTGGCGAAATTTTTCGTGAAAACGGAGCGTCCGAAGGAGAGAACGCATCTAATTAACATGTTCTCGATATCTTTGCCTTAACAATCCTTATATATAGATATATGTATGTTTTCTCTATCGGAAAAAAAACATTTGTTAGCCGACGGTGACATTTTAAACGCGATCTCCCTTCATTTTCAGGGGAGCGTTCTCGTTCCCGCCTCGTCGCGATCGATGAACGAGATATCCTGATGGGACGAAAATCGTTGTAACAGTCGAATCTCTTTTCCTATCCCCGCGACTAACGAATATCTTTTTTTTTTATTTTACAATTCGTTTTGTAAATATCTCGAAGGTATATTATTATTAATCGATATCGCATCAACTAGAACTAGTTTAATGTTTTAAAGTCGCGTCACAAAAATATTCTTCGGTCGTACTAAGAAATATTTAAACAATATTTGTTCGCTGCTAGAGTTTACTCTCCCCTCCCTTTCCCTCTACCCCAATTTTCTGCCCCAAAAGCAATACGCTATATCGATTACATAGACGACCCCCAATCTCCTATCTTCCATCCCGACTTCACTCCCAAAAATGTGTGTGTTTTACCACGGATACTATATACGAAGTTTTTTTTCTTCTCATTTGTGCTTTCCCGCAGTGTTTGTTACACGTTGCATATGTCACTAATGAGATACAGGACCTATTGACTGACGTTTAAGTAACTAAGTGTGTGTGTTCGATAGATATCGCCCCCAAATCTGTTTACACTTACTCCGTCTACGTCTAAAAAAAAACCCAAGCAACGATGAGTGAGATTGAAATTTCGGTGAGATTTCCAAGTGTGTCACCGTGAGAAGATTTTCACCGATTTTTCGATATTATTTTCATCGCGTTTTGTCCTTTATATATTCTTACGTTTAAATAATCATCGTCGCGCATTAGAAAATATCCCGTGTGTATTATAGAAAAAGTCTTACCTTTAATCGCGCGCGCATCGATCGTCGCGTCGTTTTTCTTGCACTTCTTGATGAGAATTGAACGAGACATTCGAGACAATTATTATTTTACTAGAGCGTTACATTATTCACGGCGTTTCTTTTGTTTATTTTTTTTTAATTTTCATCCGCTTTATCGTAATATTAAATGCTGAGCGAAAACGCGAAAGACGGAACGAATTGATTAATTCACGTGGATAGCCAGCGTCTTTATCCACATCATCATTCTTATAAATGAGTTAACGCAACGGCATAAACATTATTCGATACCGAATATCTTCAACTTAACAATGATTTGTCGTAAAGAATCGTCGCTCTCGCGAGATCAACTAATTCATCTAATCGACTTATTGTTAGACAACCGACCTAACACACCCTACCGATTGTGAGTCCAGTGTGACGTGTGAAACGTGAGCAAGTGTCGTCGCGCGGTGATCAGGTCGCCGGCTGGACACGTGTTAGAGGTACTCGACAATGTCGCACTTGATGGATATATTCGGGCAACTAGCTATATTCGAGCGATAGCCTCGTCTGGCAGTGCTCTTATGCCGCTCGGTGAGGAGCTTTTGAAAAATCGGCAGGATCGTCAGATCCAGCAGCTCGCCGTCCGACACGGCGCTGTACATCTTGGAGACGTTCACCGCGGAATCACCTGCAAGCAACGATATCAAGATTGATCGTGACAATATCCCGTGGCTCTATTGACTCCGATTCTGTTGCATCCGCGTCAAAATCGAATACACATGCACGGCATCGCGTCGTATTCGCGAAAGACAGATAAGTTCGAGTAAACTGCGTCACGTCTAGCATATCTGAGGCACGAATATTTAGGACACAATATATATGTTAAAGGCACTCCTCAAATGTATGTATGTTTCATCTGAGTAATGAAAATCTGAAATATCAGACAATTACACTCTGTTTAACCGTATCAATTTAACCGACCATATTTGAAATATGAATAACTTCAATTATATTGCCATTTAGATCTGATTAGTTTGCTGTTCAACGTGGATTTCGTTATTAAATGCTTGTTTCCGCTTTAGAATAAATGTCTTTAATTTATTCGAATGCGCTTGCGATAATTCGGATACGTGAACTCTTGAGAGCGTAATATTTTTTTTTTACATGAGCATTTAACAATGAAATTAATACCAAAAGACTAATACGCGATGTATATCTACGCGCATATACGTGTATTTTGCTTTTTGATTATCTTTTCCTGCGTTATTGATTTCATGCCTCAAAGATTCTTTCCCTTGTCATAATAAAATCTACGAATCTTTCATGCTTTATTTCGACGCGAATGCAACAGTGTATTTTCATACAGCAACAAAATGTGCGGTATCTCTCATCAAAATGCATATGTTACTAACGGAAAACATTTTTTACTAATATTTTCTAAACGTAATTTATGCAACGCAATATTGTAATTGAAATTGAAGTGTTTCTGCTAGTTTCCAGTGCTGTTGCAGAAAAGAATTGAGAGACGACAGGAATTGGGATATAATAAGTAACGTATAACACGCTACCGTTCACGTCGCCGGTTCCGCCGCGCGAGTTGGCCGCGACGTGCTTGCCGTTGTGCATCGTCGCCACGTTCGGGGTGCTCTGCACGTACTCCAGCCGTGCCTGGTGGCGCAGCTTCGAGCCCGCGTGCCGGCACATACGGCGCGCGACCCGATGCGAGCACTCGACTATGGGGTGGCCACCGCTGATGTGTAGCCGTAGGCACTTTTCCCGCGAGCGCTCTGACATGGAGCGCTGGATGATCGTCGACATCGACTCCTCGTACTTTTCTATTAACAGAACGCTCAATTGTGTCGTCTCACGCCGCCAACGCGCGCGCCAAGTCTCTAACGATAAGAAAGACCCGACCAAATATGCGATTTCGATGAGCGGATGCTGAATGACTTTAATCACTTCAATTTCATTTAAAATGCATTATGCATTTATTTTTGTGCGGCAAACTTCAACTTTTGTGTGGAAAATTAAAAAAAATATTCATTTATATCTTGAAAATTACATATATACAATATTGAAACAACTTTGAAAAAAAGAAAACGTGAATCGGTATCTACATCTCTATAACATACGCGAAGATCAAGCTTATTGGTGATATGTCCACCATTGTAAAAATATAATTGTCTCTTATTTTTCTAGATAAATAAAAAAAGCAATTTTATTATTTAAAAATTCAATAATCTTATATAACAATTAATAATTTATTGCAACTTTCTATATTTTTATCGTGTCTTTATAATTTAGTATTTGGTATGTTGGGTATGTCGATTTTGGGAAATGTCAATTTTTTAAATTTCGATGTCTGTTTTTAGGAAAGACAATTACACAAAAATAATTACACAAAAATAATTACACAAAAAAAGTATTTAAATATTAACAAAACGGTATGATACGGGAAGTAGTCTCTAGTAAATATATGTATGAGGACTGACAATTAAGTTCGTAGAAAATATTTATTACACTTACAGAACACACTTACTCGTTATTTAATACACGGTCCTCTTTAAAATAGTCCCTTCCTAAAGCAATGCACTTGGTCCAATGTTTTTTCTATTGCAGGAAGCAGTTTTCAAAATCATTCTCCGTGAGGCTGTTTAAAGTACGCGTCATCCATTCCACCTCCGCTCGTAATCCCCAATGACGATCTTTCATGACTTTCTTGATTTTGGGAAATAGAAAAGAGTCAGCGGGGCCCGATCTGATCTCTTTCGATTTTTCTAAACAGCCTCACGGAGAATGATTTTGAAGCTGCTTCCTGCAATAGGAAAAACATTGGACCAAGTGCATTGCTTTAGGAAGGGATTATTTTAAAAGGGACCGTGTATTAGATAACGAATAAGTGTGTTCTGTAATTGTAATAAATATTTTCTACGAACTTAATTGTCAGTCCTCGTATATGAACATAAATTTTCATTTAAAGTCCCCAGCTAGAAATTGGAGTTTTAGAAACGGTATGGTATATGTCGGTTTTGAGATATCTCTTTTCTCTAATATAAAAAAAAATTTCAATTATCTGTCATATGTATATATCACCTTGTCGATTGTGTGAAAATTCATGAAATTCGTCGAATTGGAGAACGTCGATTCTTACCGGCATGCCGATGATTTGGCACATATTGCGTCAACGGGAACGGCATGATGACTTGCTCGATGTAGCTCTGCTCGTGAAGCTCGCCAAAGGACACGTTCTTGGTCGGCGGCGGCGTCGACAGCTTCGCCCTGCGTTCGTCCTTGCTCCGTCTTCTCACGCGACACACATGCCTCGCAATCTCAGTCTCCTCGAGAATCACGGAGTCGCTCTCCTCGACGACCGGCGGCACGAAACGCGTCGTCGTCGCGGCTTCGTTCGGCAACGGTTCTTGGCTTTTGTTGCGTATCAGCAACATCGGCTCACTCGTCTTGCCCGTCTCGTCGGAGGCGCTCTTGCGTCGCGATGCATCCGCGCCGCACGTGTGTCTGGAATGTGTCGTTGTTGGCGTCACCGCCGTCGCCGTCGCCGTCGCCATCGCCGTCGCCATCGCTGTCGTCGTTGTCGTCATCGTCGTCGTTGTCATCGCTATTGTCATCGTCGTTGATGGCAGGGGCAACGGCGGGAACGCGTCCGTCGTTGTCTCGACGCCCGGAGAAGAGCTCTCCTCGATCTGGGCCGTCATAGCCACTCGTTCGTTATCGATGGTGATTGACGTGGCTTTCGTGACGGACGACCTTTTCCTAGAACGAGCACCGCGCAACTACCTTGAGGATGGACGGCGGACCGGGTGAATCCGAGGACTTCCGGAACGAGGTCAGTAGGGTAAACGGAATTATCATTGTATTATCTCTCAACATTTAATTTTAATTTCTTAATTTTCTTCATCTAAAAGTGCACGAATTCATCGAGACGGTAAAAGTTAAACGATTGTTAGAGTTAAACGTAATTTAGAGATTTGCTATTTGGTCAAAAAGTGTTAAACCAAACATACACGTATGTCTCTGAAAAATGTAATTTTGTTAATTTAATTTATATAGTTTATAGTTTTAATTGTTCGGTAATAATACTATAATGCATTTTTAATTATCAATTAATTATTGCTGTCAAGTTTCCTCTATATGCGATGAGATTGATTTCCGAAATCCAAAAAAGAGGTTGAAATCTAAAGGTGGGATTTAATATTAAACATGGTTACGTACTTTGTTACTTGATCCACGTTGACGTAATCGCCCTCCGGCTGCGAAACAGTTGATGAGTTCAAGCTGCATATGGACATTGAAACATCAGTCGTTTCTGTGGTTATTGATGGTCCTGTCGAATAAAATAAAATTATTGATATAGTAATTTAATTATTTTACTTGCATTGGCCGATTCAAAGAGAAGAATGCGCACGTCTTTTTCTCGCGCGCGTATGCGCATTTTTCCATTAAATCTGATTTTAAATCAAATTATAAGTTAATAGTATATAAAACAATGAGTTTTAAAAAAAACTTTTTTTCTAGATAGAAAAAATATATCGCAACGATAGCCTATAACTATTTAAATCGATAAAGTTATCTCGACAAAAAAACTATGCGTTTAATATTATATATATGGATGTATATACTTTTTTTTTTTTTCATTTGACACAGATACAACAAAAAAGATATTTTGCACCAACTTAATAGAGATGATATATTCTTGATTTATAAATAAATAGAGATATTGAATACACTTTAAGGAAAAGTGTTGGACGGAATATTTACCTTCCCTTTTAACGGCCTCTTCTGGCTTTGGAACAGGCAACGTGTCGACCGTTTCTTGCGTTTCATTTGCAGTTTCTTCGCCCATTCGCCTTAGAAATCCCTAAAGTAATATGCGAGATAATGAGGTAAGTATTATATTTCTCTCCGCGCGCCGAAGCGTGCACGTTTGATGTAACGCAACGTATTAAGATGGATTAAATATTACGTAAACGTAAACGACCATACTGGGAGTACATTCGTTGAAATAATTGTAGATTGTTATCCTCAGAGGGCAGGCTCTATGCGAGACAACACAATGGTGTCATGATTATTTATAATCGAATTAAGGAAGGATATGTCGCTCGCTTTTCTGTTAATCAAGAACCATCATCGATCCTCTCTCAATCGGATGTATGGACGGACGATTATTTTATTAAACAGCATATCTTCTGCCAAGGAATTTTAGCGCAATTGGTCATAAAATAACCCACACAATTTTTATGTAAAATATTTGCATTTTTATTTTGTTCAAGACTTGACCTTTTGCGCGCTACAACTTACTGTCATTCTGACTGGCTTTAAAATTTGAATTCTATTCTGCTACATGACAATCCACTTGGTAATAATAAAATCTGGCTTAATTAAAAAATATAGATACATAAATTAATTACTGATCAATAAATTATCTTTATTTAATTCCATTAAATATTTGTCATTCTTAATATTGATTCATCTTCGTTTAATTATTAATTCTGTTTTATGTGTTATTTGTATCATGTATATAATATCCAATTGTAGTATCAATATCAATATCTCTCAACTATGTGTTCCGATATTACATTTTACTTAAATATGTCAAACACACAATTTTGTATATTTCACAAGGTATACTTTCTCTTTTATAAGTTTCCAAACATACATATACTCAAGATGTAATGCGAGAGAAAAACAATTGACGACGACAAAAGTAATTGACCTTGATTTTTTCCGCAATAAAAAAATTATACTTTATTATTTTTTCTTGACAAATAGAAATATATAAGTGACATATATTTGATATTAATAAGACATGTACTGTGTACTTCAAACATTATGAACGTGTGTGTATATGCGTGAATGGCACGCGGAGTGAACTGTCAACGTCGTCGAAAAATCTGCAAGGCGCAAAAAAAATTATATATCTCGAGGAAATTTAATTTTATAAGGTTGGATATATGTATTGAAAAAATATCTCTCGATTCCCCGGACCTTTTTATCGCAGAGTTTGAGGAAACAAAGGTGGTTTTGTATGATAGACCCGTGTAACGTAGCTCGATTCGCGTTAAAATTTTGCAACTTCACGGTGGAGTAATATTTACTGTAAAACGGTTTGAAAGTTTGATGGACGGAAAGAGCTTACCTGAAGCTCGGAATCCTTTTGCAATAGTTGCTTCCGGAATTTTTTATTCGCCAGCTTCGCCTCCTTCAAACGCTCATCGATCTCGCTGACTGTCGAGTCCCTTCGTATTTTCAACATCGGCCTCAGAGTCGCCCTGGTCCGCTTATTTATCGCCCCTTGCGGATTTCTGCGTAACTCTATTACCTGGAAATCCCAAGAGACTTACTCGTACTCGACTTCACCGCTCTCATTCCGAAGATGGATAAGATGGATAGACGCTTTTATTATCGTTCTATAGTTTCCTCCTCAAGAACATACAGATATATATTTGCAGCGGAATAACGTGAATAAATAAGAAGGTAAAAGAATATGTGAAACGCTAACTGAAATCATTGTTACAAACGAGTGTTATAAAAAAAGATGTGAGTATAAATGTAAAAGTACAAATATAATATTTCAGTGAACAGATTTACATTGCACGGATAATGGAAAAGTTTTTCTTTAGTTTAGATATAAACACATATTGATTTTGGAACAAATTATAAAAGAGAACTTTACAAAAAGTTTGCGCAGTAAATATAAAATATTGTTGAAAAATAGTACTGGTCGACTCTTGAATAAAACGGTATAAGATTAAAATTTATTCAACAAGTATAATACACACAATATTAATTTGATGGAGCTGGGGTGAAAAAGTGCCAAATTGTTTAAATAATCTTTTCAATTATCTGAAGTCAAGCAGGTTTTTTTTCTTTATAGCATGCAAAGACACAAGAGAGAAATAGGAACGTACCTTAGGAATAAAAACCAGACAAAGAGTGGCTGTACTACAAAATATAATGAACACCGCCAACATTATGAACATAGCGTCCTGTTTGTCAGTCAGCACGAAGCTTATAGCCGCGCCAGTGACGCACATTATAACAACGTTGTACACGCTCATTCCCACGTATTTACTGTCATTTAATGCCGGTATACTAACGTGCCGCGTTTCCCATGCCAGAAAGGCACCGAATATCTAAAAGCCCGGGTAGGATCGAATGAGTGTCTGTTGGATGGCGTTTTATCCATCCGCGAGGCGGATAGGTATTCACGTATATTGTATATGTATGCATAGCTCAACAACTTACCATTAAAAGGCCTTTGTATGCATATATGCAAAACAGATAAATATTCATTTGATTGCTCTGACAATACTCGTTCTCCGGGATGATTATTATATCCTCGCTGGAAGGATGATGCTGCAATCGAGAGACGATCTCGCAAGTTATCGAGACAAGTTTATCGGGTAAACGAGAATGCCGAAATTTATATTTATTCTTCTATAGGCATTCTTTTTTGTTTCTCACGCGCGGCCATTTTCTATCTTACTCACGTAAGGCTGCATCTGCTTGATCGCCCGATAGAACGGATCGGCTATCTGCCACGTCGTCATGATTGTGAGATCGACAGCCAACAGTATCCCGACTATCATAAACAGCTGGTAATCTTTTATCACCTGGATGAGATACGGGCAAACTCGTTACACGCGAATATTTGCAACATTTCTCGATATGCGGAACGCATGGTTACCTTCTTATTGAGCTTCACGTCAGTGAATATGGAATGTACACGCCACGTTTTCGAGAACATGGAGCCGAAGGCCAACGAGAAACCGGCCATCAGCAGCCACGCTCTGGCCGTACAAATGTATGGGAACGCCGCTACGCTCGATAATTGCGAGTCTAGTCCGAGGAAGATAACGCTACTGTAGGTCAGCATACAACCGACGATGATGAGATTGTTGAGGTGGGGCGATGACATTTTGATGTATCTGCAATATTGAGTTTCGTGCGTGAATGCGTGTTCGCTCTTGGCAAAGTAATCGGAGGTGTTCCACAAATGGAAGATCCGTGTTATATTGTACACGTATGTATACGTGCGAGCGCGCTGTGCGTAATTGTTACATATTACGCCATATTGGCCGTCACCTTTGATTTCGGTATCTGATATTGATGGCGAGAAATATGGATGCCAAGACGATACCGACACTAGCGGCCGAGGCTAGCACCGCGTATAGCGTGATGTCCACGGTGGAGTGCTCGATGATGCGAACGGTCCGATCTTTCGGTGGCGATCTCCCGTTCCACAGCGGCGCCCCTCTAGTCAGATCCAGAACGCCGGTTATGCTATCGTACTCGCCTACATTTACCTCCTGACCGTCTAAAAAGGGTGAGTTGACCAAGTGAGAATCGCGTGAAAATACGCCGTGTGAAGATAACGTGCGTTTCTTCATCTCTAACAATAAGTTAAAATACCTATTTCAATCAAACATGACATATTCGTGACATATGCTTTTTCTTGTCGAGTCGACCGATTGATTTCAATTTTTCCGCCCCGCGATGTTTCCGGTAACTTAATCGCGAGATGCTGATTATGAAGGAAATGTATTGGCGTTATAAAACTGTTGCTTACACAGATGATGAAAACAAATCGCATTAGGCAAGTATCGTATTTTATTTTCAACATTCATATACATATATCTTTGTTATATTTTGAATTTTTCAGATATTTCTTTGATATGAAATTTATCACAAATTTTCGTCACAGTTTAAACGCAAATTTGTAAAAACTAAATATATATGCATTGATCTGTAAATTACATCATTGATTTGAAGCAGTTTAATCCGATTAATAATTTTTAACAAAAACCCAACTAAAACTCTTACACATTTCGCTTAAAATAATTTATGATAATAATAAATTCTTACAAATAAAAGTTTCCAGATACATATATTTCTCTCTCTTTTGAATCCTCATAATAATTATCTAGTTATGCCTAATGTTTTGGAAAGCTTGAGAGAAGTAGGTACTTTGTAACTTTTAAAATTCCTACGCTACTATCTAGGAGTAACTTACTTACTTTGAAATTGTTTTAGAAGAATGTACGCTTTCCTTTCGTTATCGTAGAAGCGAACCGGTCCCTGCAAATTTTATATTTCTCACATCCATTTTGCGTTATTATATGTATATTGTATATACACATACACATACATATATACATACAAGGTAGTGTTCTCTACCACAGACGATCGGGCGGGCGAATCGGATTTTAAAACAAGAGCCCGTTCTTCACCGATATGCTATCGACTCATGCCAATTTGCCCCGCTAACTCGCCCGGTGGTTTGTCATGTTTTTGATTTCGTTTTAATTCCAATTCGGTTCAACCGCCAGAATCGGTCTCGTTCTTTCTCCCGTTCCCGTTATTGCTGCCTGTTATTGTATATACGTACGTACGTACGTACGTATGTATCCCTTTTTCGCTAAAACGTGCTCGACCGCGGCGAAGTATGTACTGCGTCGTATATAAAAAAAGAAGCGAGAAAGAAAGACTCATTAAATTCACAGCGGTACGGTCGCGGCGCGCGTAGAAAGATGATGCGCGCTACTCGAGAGACCCTCGGTCTCGCGAAAAGACGGTCAAGTGCAGCACGCGAATGCCACGGTGTTGATTATGGCTTGGAGAACGCAAGTCGCCGGTGCCGTGTCTTTTCCTTTCGCGTCTCTCTCGTAAAGACAACGGGCGTAAAGTGCCAGCAGCTGTCGTCCTCGAGACCGACCCGCGATCGCAAGGAAGACAAGGGTTGTCGCTCATCTAATGAGAGAGCGTAAAGACCCGCTCCTCCAATCTTTGCTTTTCTTTATAAACGTCTTCATTCTCTCCCCTCCGTTCCTTTAAACGAGTTTTTCTCCCGAGGGCGATTGTGCGGCAACATTTAAAGTTTTCCTCCGTGTATTCGCGCGACACGAATACCAAGAGACAGCAACTTGGAACTTAAGTGACGCGAATCAATCGAGCGCGAAAAGAGAGAGAAATATTTTGCTCCGAGCTATACGGAAGTTGTCGTTAAAAAGGTTGCTAAAGCGAGAGGCGATAATCTCGGTGAAGTTTTCCTTTTCCCGCGACAAGTACAGGACCTTGTATCGCGACTAATATTGTATAAAAAATTTATCGAGAATTTATTGAGACGATTATATCGAATAAAAATGTTACATACACGCAAGTATTACTCTAAACATATGTAATCACATGACTAAAGAAAAGAAAGCAACAAAATAAAATACTTGAAATCAAAAGAAACTTATTTTTCTTCAATATATTTTTAGAACATGTTTCATTACACACGCATGCAGGCACGCACGCAGGCACGCATGCATGCATGCATGCATGCACGCACACACACGCACACGCACGCGCGCGCGCACACACACACACACACAAACCTCAATAGTTTGATATTCAAAAAAATATATCAGAAAGACATTGATTTTTGTGTGAAAATTTATTATTTATCACAACTATTTAGGGGCCAACCGCACAGATTTTGTAAAACTGTGATATTTCGGAAGAAATATTTCTACAATACTTTATTACCCGAAAGTTTCTCGTTTGTTGATTATAAAAAAAAACCCAGAATGTTAATCTACCCTATATTATAAAGATGTAAAGTTTGTTTGTTTGTTCCATTGTTCGGAGTAATCTCAGAAACTACTGAACCGATTTCAAACAATCTTTCACTGGTGGATAGCTTAGATCTTCCTGAGTAACATAGGCTATATATCATCGTGTTGCAACGTCTAGGAGTCGAGCAGTAAAGAAGAACGTGCGTGAAGTCGGAAAAAAATACGTCGTTCATGCTCTATATTCTAATTTATATCTAACGCAAAAACTACACAACCGATTTTGATGAAACCTTCACCAGTACGTTTCTAGACATCTCAGGAGTTTTTAAGGATATGAATTATAATTGACCCATATTTGTCCATTCTCACAAATCCGCAACTACATACCGAGCGCGCGAGGAAAAAACGCCAGCTAGTATAAAACTACATGGATTAAAAAGTTACAGTTTCAAAGTATATAGGTATTATCAATAAATTAAGATCAGAAAAGAATTGCAACTATACAGGCTTGGAAAAATATAATAGTTTAATACCTATATATATATATATATATCTATACGTACATACTAAATTGCTTATAAAAAATAATCTCCACGAGAAATCATTAAAGCTTTTTACGGCTTCTCTGTTACGAAACACCCTGTATAACAGCGTCCGTTTTTAGCGCCAAGAGTTTTATGTCAAATGGCATTACCCGACGGCACCCGTATTCGGGACACACGAGATTCGAGGGGATGACCGTGCGCGAAATTGCAACAAGGCGGGGTCAGCTTACCGTAACACCATCGAAGCTTGTATTCCTGAGGGCATCGAGGAAGAGCTTCTCCCATAATACGTCCCTATACCGAAAGTCGGATATAGTCTGGTTACGATGAAAGTGCCGTATCCTGCGCGCGACATTCTTTACGGCCAGTGCGATCGTCCAGATACCGTCGTACGTGTATCCGTGGAATCTGGAGTACTCGCTGCCCCGCCTCGAGTCGTATTCGACCTGATACTGAACCGGAGTCTGTGGCATCAGAGAGAAAACGCGAATCGAAATATGCATATTATCAAGACGCAACAGGCGTTATGACAAATCTCAAAGAGGCGCGTATATGAAGCGGTGTCTACAATAGGTGTAGTAAGCCTCAAGCTGTAAGGAATTGATCAATCACAGTTGAATGTGAGAAGAATAATCGAATATGATTGGTTAATTTCTTAATTTTCGTCAATTCGCTTGGGTTGTGCTTTCGATACATGTATCATGCTACTTGGTCGCTTGGTTACGCTCCATCTACGGATTCTTCCGCCAATCTCGAGTCGATTTTTCCGTAATCCTTTCAAGATCGCATTCGATCTACTTATGCGGCGGAAGACGTAATATTCCGTCGCTCGAGAGATTGAAAGATATTATAGAAAAAAAAGAGAAAAGAAACGTCTCAACTTTTAAATTCTACAATTTCGAATCTAGATAATCGATTCGCGGAGCAACTTTCGCGCTCACGACAACCGACAATATACGGCTCGCTTACAATTCCGGATGTGGTGTGCTGTTCTTCGCTCGTCAGCGGCAACAGATCCGTCAGGATGACACCGTGGAGCGCCTCGGACAACTCGGCGGGATCGCATCCGCCGTCCGGACGCAGCCACCACTCCCTGGTGTAAGTCCCAATAATGACCCATTGATACTTCCTTCCGTAGAGACCGAATCTGTAGGCCTCGCAGAATATTCGCCTGGCCCACGCCTCGTTGAAGTTACCCAGCACGATCCTCACGTCCTTCTCCTTGAGCTTCTCGAGCGCCGTCCTCACCTCCGTAGCGAAGCTCAGCGTCTCCACGAGCTCCATCTTGCTCTCGTCCAGATCGGCCACCAGCCGATTATGCACCTGCGAAACGACGCGTGAGAAAAAAAAAACGCGGGCGTTACCGTGTTTTGTCGTTGACAGAAATTGAAAATTATCACACTTATCACGCGTGCTGTAATGCGAGCGCGTTCGTTTCGCGCGTTTAGCTCGTTGGAACGAGCCGCTACAGCGACGACGAATCTCCATTTATAATGTAAATGAAACAGTCGCTTGCATATACATCAGCCGCGAGCGAGCCGTACGGAGAGCGTTAATTAATCCTTTCGTTTTCCCGAATCGCTCCCGATTGTTGAGAACCGCTGTTCTTTCTTTTTTCTTCAGCGCTTTTAATTATTAATTATATTTAATGCGTACAAAGTTTTATCGAGGAGAGTTTTGAAATTTTTTGTAAAAATTTTCCATTTATCATAAGACACATCGAACCCTTTCTCTCTCGTAGAGAGCCAGGGCGAATTACCAACTTTATTTAATTACGTTTGCAATTTTAAAGAGAAGGAAATTTTTCTCAATTTTCCCTCTTTCTTTTTTAATTCGGCCATGTATTGCCAGACTCTTTTGTATCGTGGAAATGGTTTAGAAGATTGATTTTACCAGTGCATATCTGGGCTCGTTCTGGTAAATCGTGCCGACCCGCGTCCAATTGAAGTGCACCAACAATGCCACTCGCGGTGCGTTCAGGGCGTTTTCGGACGGCACGACCCTGAAGAAATTCGGGAAGCTGTTGGTCGTGAACATAGGATGGGTGTCTGCGTAGCTGAGCTGTAACAATAAGAGGGAAAGTATGTGTGTGTGTGTGTGTGTGTGTGTGTGTGTAAATAAGCGGGAATGAAAACAAAACACTCTCGTATGCGTCATGAATATTTACGACGACATTTTACCATTGCATTACCTGCGTAAGGCGCCAGTGTTTCGAAGCTTTCGCTATCGGGTCCGTGACTTGTGTGCAAGCACCGCCGAAGAGTATCACCTTGTGCGGCCCGTTGTGCATCATGTCGAAGAAGGCTTTCATCCCAACTGCGGCGCTACACTGCAACATACGTCATTTATTGCTTTTCTCAATCTTTTCTCGCGTTAATGCGGATCTTGAAAAAAAAAAATTTTAAACCTTAAAGCACTTTTTCAAAATTTTAAAAAACATCCAAAAAAGCTCTTCTAAAATACTTTCACTAACGGAAAAATTCAAATATCTAAATGTTTAATTTTAGGTAAATGTTCGGATTAACTTACACTTCATGGATCATTATCATTTTTACGTATATTGTAGAGGGGACATTTTTAAGTAATACACACTTTGAATTTTCTGGCGCTCTCTTCTGATTCCAGAGATATGCGATTTTAAAGTATCATAATCTTCGTATTTACTTGTATCATTTTTTTGTTATATCCTACTTGCGTGTTTATATTTTTTATTTACATTTGCTCGTTATTGCGTCACTGTCGGTACGCTTCTGGATTACTGTTTAGTTTTGCTAAGAATTTCTTTTTGTTTACATTTAATTGTCGATATGTTTTAATAAGATATAAACAATTGTATACTGTTTTGTTTTGTAATATTTTTCTTATTCTGCCTGAATACTTTATTAAAGAAAAATATTTATTATTATATATAAAAATAAATAAATCTAAATAAATGCGTGAACAAGGGAGGGGCAAAGTCCCTCCCCCTGCAACCCGACCCTGAAATAATCTAACTTACCTCAACCCATGTCCCGGGGATGAATTATTTCTTAAATTAATAAAAATTCACCCCGTGGACATGGGTTGGGTTAGGTTAGATTTTTTCGTGATGAGAGTACAGGGGAGGGACTCCGCCCCCGCTCATGCGTTTACTTTATAATAAACTTGAACTACATCAAGGTCAAGGTCAAGGTTGGGGCTAAATCCCATTTTCTTAAAATGTTATTTTTACAATACTTCAAAATCGCATATTTGCGGAACCAGTAGAGCGTGCCAAAATATTCAAAGCGTGTATTACTTAGGAATGTACTTTTTACAATATATGTAAAAATAAAAACGATCCGTGAGGTGTAAGTTAATCCGAATATTTACCTAATTTTATTTAACAAAAATCAATAAATATATTTAATAAATTAAATATTGCATGTAATATTTACTATTTAAATATTACGTGTATAAATAACATGTGCACCTTTGCGTGATATATACTTCCTCACTTACGTTTTATGGTGTATTTGCATCGAGACGGAAAATGATCGTTTCTTATATCGACAGCTCTCTTTGATATTTGCAGAATCAACAAGTGTTTGTGTTAGGGTACAGTCGGAAAATAGAGAAAAGCAAAGGACAGAGTTATGCCAAATCGGTAAGGGATGAATATTATTAGGGAAGCACGGCTTCATTATCTCTCAATTATCGAGAGATTAACACGAAAACTCGCCAAGAATAAAATTGATAATATTAATAAACGCGTGCAAATATGCCGATTTTATTTATCTCAAACAGGAATTCCGATTATTGATACAATAATAATGGCTTTCCTTTTCTAAAAATAAAAAAGATATTTTAAATATCTCCGTGGAGGGAAAAAAAAACCTTGTTCTCGAAAATCGAATTTCTGCAGAAATAAATATTTAACATGAGAATATAGAATATTGACGCTCTTTATGCGTGTGATCGAAATAATTATCAGAATGGCGGACAGAAGAGAATGATCTTTTTTTAAGCTGTGAGTTATTTTTGCGATGGACATTCTTTAGTATCGTCATCGCGTATTCCGTTCGAGTCTACATGCTTCTTTGATATCAGCACCATTTTTCGAGTATTCTTTTTCACGTGGAAATTGATTCCAATGTTCCTATCGTTACCTTCTTTTTGCGCACGTCGCAACGTGCGGATGAGCAGATGACCCCGTTTCAAAGATAAGATGTAATAGGTACAAGATGTAGATATAATTATACAGATGAAAATAGGAATTCTGTGGTTGGTCAGAAACAGAACGGCGTCTTTTCCCCGAATACGAGATATTGAATTTATCATGGGTAGAGTCTGAAATATTTCTCTGCAATCTATCGAGATTATTCTTTAAAATAGAGAAAAATTGCAGAATTTTTTTTTCGCTCGAGCAACATTTTTTTAGCCGTTCTCGTCGCTACATTATCCTTGCATTTTATTGTGCGCTGATTGTTATTTTTAATTTATTCAAACACGCAAATTCTTCAAAATTTTTTGAAATTATCTTTACATTTATCGCCACCTAGTCGATTCCGTCAATAGATTGCACGTTTCCTCTGTTTTACATTGATTTCCGATACATTGGTTATCACAGTAGAGATAAAAATCCGTCCTCGGAAAATTACGTTACGAAAGAGAATCACGTAACTCGAGAAAGAACTCTAAGTTTATTAGTCGCTACTTGACGATCGCCGTAGACTTGAAAAGAAGCCGGCGAGAAGAGGGGAAAAAAAGTAAACTCGATCTCCCGTTTCAAATGCAACGAAAATAAGGAGAGACGCATCGCTTTAACGACGTCGAACAATGGGGCTGCCACATCTGTTGCAACGGGGTATTGTAAGCAGGATAATCTGTCACTTTTACGGAGATAAAAGGAAGTATCTCTTTTTGTGCTCGGACTTGCCTTGGGTTAAATCGAGAAAAGTGATATCGATTCACACACAGAGGCGGGCAGGTTCCTAATCATACGATTGCGTGTCGCGAAACACCCATTCGGAAGTGAAGCTCGCCTATTTTCTTCTCGCGTGAGAATGAAATAATTAATTTCAAACAACATCGCCCTCGCCCCCCCCCCCCCCCCCCCCCCCCCCCCCCCCAGGGTGGACCTCGCTTTACAACTACGGTGGGCAAATTGACGGTGTGCAACTGAACGGTGTGCAACTGAACGGTGTGCAACTGAGCGGTGTGCAACTGAGCGGTGTGCAACTGAGCGGTGTGCAACTGAGCGGTGTGCAACTGAGCGGTGTGCAACTGAGCGGTGTGCAACTGAGCGGTGTGCAACTGAGCGGTGTGCAACTGAGCGGTGTGCAACTGAGCGGTGTGCAACTGAGCGGTGTGCAACTGAGCGGTGTGCAACTGAGCGGTGTGCAACTGAGCGGTGTGCAACTGAGCGGTGTGCAACTGAGCGGTGTGCAACTGAGCGGTGTGCAACTGAGCGGTGTGCAACTGACCGTTGTGCAATTGAGCGGTGTGCAACTGAACGGTGTGCAACTGAGCGGCGTGCAACTGAACGGTGTGCATTTTTATGTGT